AAAAAAAGAAAAAAAAAAAAAAGAAACCTACCAATTTTAATCATGCACTAAAGGAAGATTTTATAAACAATGTAATTTTAAAGATTGGGTAATTTAAAAATTATCTATCTGGAAAGTTGAACATTAATTTGTGGTTACTGAACATTATTGCAATTGAACCCGCCGAACTCTAACCTTTCTCTCCTAGTTACATACTTTCTAAATTTGATGCTAAACCTGCCAAATCTGGTACTCAAATTGCATTTACTAACCTCCATGTTAAGATACACCAGCCCACAACTTATTAGATTCTTGTACGAGACCGTAGTCTTTTTTAGTTCACTTATTAACAGACTCGTCCTACCTTTTTTTTTTATTCAAAAATTCACAAGTTATGAATTGACGTTTTTAGTTATGTTATTTTTAAAGTGTAACATTATAGTTTATATATATAAATAAAATTTGGATCATATGATAAAGATAGACAGTGAAAAAAATAAGAATGATTATTGACCATTGAATCCATCAAACTAATGGTCAAGAGTCAAATTTTAATATGTGATAATTAAAAATGGATGGCTTTCTCGTAAAAATTTGTATATATCATAGTCAAAAATAGACATTAGACATTATATACCACCAGTGGACCCCACCACTAACACCACTAACTTACCTCTCGCTCACACACACACACAAACACACACATGCACAGACACCTACACACACGTGTAACACACAAACTCACACACCTTACACACACACAGACTGAAGTCGCCGTCGGCCGCCACAATCACCCCACTGGCCGTCGATACCATCCCCGCCGGCCGCCGAGACCATCGCTGCCGGCTGCCGAGTTCGTTCGCCAAGGTCGGACCCGATATGCAAGCTTGAGACGTCGGAGTTCATTCAGTCACCATCGACCCGACTGCTATGAGAGAGTTCCCGTCAAGACTACATGCGGCACAGCCGCCCTCACATCCTCATCTGCAAGCGGCCCCGACGAAGAGGCTTCCGAGTTGGAGCTGAGCGGCCTTGTGACTCCTGCCCGACCCAAACATGACGCCGTGATGTGGATACTTTAATTATTATTATTATTATTATTATTATTATTATTATTATTATTATTATTATTATTATTATTTTATTTATTTATTTAGTAGATTGATGAATAAGTTAGGTTTAGGACTTTAGGAGTCTTATTTAAAAACTCCTTCTTTGTTATTTGAGCAGTTGATTATTGAAATGAAATAAGATTGAGTTTTGCGTGTTTTACGAGAGAGTATCTCGTGTACTCGTTTATCCTTCTCACTCGTACGCTTCCCTACATCAGTTGGTATCAACAGTCAGTACGATTCGCAATGTCGCCGGGCGCCAAGATACCGCAAACAAACAACGTGATGCAACCTTCAACGATAGGTTTCAACAGATTGACTATCGATTTCAAGAGTTGGACGTGCGTTTCACGGATTGGTTTGCCGATCTTGCGACGGGGATCGAGGATTTGCATTTGACGCTTAACAACGTGGTTGTTTCGGAATTGCAAACGAACCGCGATGGGGCTGTGGGCCGTGGCTTTCGCGGGGGAGACAGAGGCGGTTGTGGGTGACGCAGCCATGTCGGGGTCTCCGGCAGTGGTCCCCGCCACCTCTGAACGGTTTCAGGACGACGACGATCAACGCAGCGACATGGGCTGGAGAGAGGAGACAGCCTTCGCTAGCAGATATCGTGCCCGACGGGATTGGAGACTTGTTCGCGAATATGGTCATTGGGAGGGCCCGTTTTGCGTCGACATCCTTGAATTCAATGGAGAGGAAGTTGACGGGCCATTGTATGACGGTCCGCCGATCTTTGATGAAGAGCCTCCAGTGACGATTCTTGCGGGGACATGGGAATCGATGAGAATGCAGTTGTCTGCATGGATGGAGATGGGTGCAAAATTCGTAGTGGATCAGTGTCAATTGATGTATATTCAAATATTGATACATCCATTGCTTATGATTCATGTGGTATATGGTATCACGTTTTTTGTGTGGGATTTGATCTTGAAGGTAAATGTGTTGGCTCTTGGTTGTGCCCAAGAGTCTTGGTATCTGTTGTTGTCATTTTTGTTGATGATGATGGTGAGACGGTTGTAGTCGTATCTCTATTTGATGAAAATCAAGAGAGTGTTGCATTGGTTGGTCGACGTTCAACCTTCGTGTTTGATCGGGGAAAGCGATGGGGTTCCCTACTATGGATTCGACACCACACGCCGGCCACGTGAGTGCATCGGCTTCGAGGGCGAAACCTTTTGAACTGGGGGAGAATGGTGTAGACTATATTATTATTATTATTATTATTATTATTATTATTATTATTATTATTATTATTATTATTATTATTATTATTATCATTATTTTATTTTAATATTTAAATATTTAGTGGCTTGGTTGACAAGATAGCTTTTAGGGTTTTGGGTGTCTTATTTAAAGACCCTTCTTCTTTATTATTCAGTGGTTGAGTTTGAATGAATAAAAGATATTGTTGAGTTTTATGTATTTTACGAGAGAGTACCTCATTTACTCGTGTATCTTTCTCACTCGTACACTTCCCTACATCACGCTGCTGTCAAGTATAGTTCGCCCAACACAAGGGTTGGAGACGGGTGGCTAAAGTGGCCTAAGGAGGAGAAATGAGGACATTTGTTTGAAAATTTGACATGACACAAGGACTGAAATGCAATTTTATCAATTTCTATATATTACAATTTAACCAAATGTCAAATATGTAATTATATAAAACATAATTACATTGAAACAAGAGATATTTTCACATTGAAACAATTTAACCATTTTTACTTAATTTTATCCTATCTCCTACGAAATTGAATCTATTCAGGTACCCAAAATGCGACCAAACTCTAATGCCTATACAAGTCCAAAAACGAAAAAAAAAAAATAAATAAAAAAAAGCTATATAAATAAGGGAAATTCTATGGTCCTGTTACGGCATCATCCCGTCGGGTGTTTTAACCATTAGATCATCTATCTTATCTATCTACACGTGGATCCAACGGTTAAAACACCCGACGAGATGGTACCGTAGCGGGACGGTAGCATTTCTCTATAAATTATATATACATAATACATCTACTATGCAATCTCTCGCTTTCCAACTACATCAACATACATTGTTTGAAAAGCCTTCCACCAACACCCATCAAACCCCAAAAGGCCATAGAATTTTGACCCCAAAAAAAAATAATGGAGGAATCCCATTTGTATGCATTACTTGTAACCCTCACACTCATACTCTACGCATTGCTATTCACCTTCAATCCCAAGAACAGCAAGAAGAATCCACCCCCTTCTCCTCCCACTCTTCCCGTCATCGGCCACCTCCACCTGCTCCGCCCCCTAACCCACCGCAGCCTCCTTCACCTTTCTCGGACCTACGGCCCCGTCATGCTCCTTAAATTCGGCTCCAAGCCCGTCCTCGTCATCTCCTCCGCCGACGCAGCCCGCGAGGCCACACGCACCCACGACCTCGCCTTCTCAAACCGTCCCGGCCTCAGCGCCATCCGCAAGCTGTTCTACGACCTCAACGACCCCATCAACCTCCCGTATGGCGACAAGTGGCGCGCGCTGAGGGCCATCTTCGTGCACGAGCTTCTGGGGCCCGCGCGCGTCCGATCGTTCGACTCCGTCCGTGAGTCCGAGGTGTCGCTGCTGGTGGAAAGGCTGGGCCGCCGGAGGGCCACCGACCTGACGGCTGAGTTCGCTACGCTTAACAACAACCTCATCTTCCGGACGGCGTTCGGGAAGAAGACGGTGCACGTGGAGAGGATGGTGGAAGTCATAGACCGGATTGTGGCAATCTTGTCCAAGTTCAGGGTGGGGGAGTTTGTGCCGTGGCTGGCGTGGATCAACAGGCTTACCGGGTTCGACGCGGCCGTCAACAGGTGCGCGAGAGATATCGACGATATCATAGAGTCGGTGCTCGAGGATCACATGGCCCGGAAAGAAGGCATGGATAAGGAGAACTTTATGGATATACTGCTCGGGATATATAGGGGAGACGTTCCGGGCGTGTCGATCGACCGTATTACCGTCAAAGCCATGATTTTTGTGAGGGAAAAGAAAAATATATCTATTTATATATATGTGTTTGTGGTTTAGTATTTTGTTTCAATATTTTTATATGCATATGCAGGATGTTTTAGCGGCGGGAACCGAAACCTCGGCAAGTACTCTAACCTGGATGATGACCGAGCTGATTCGGCACCCGAACGTCATGAAGAAACTGCAAGATGAAGTCCGAGGGGTGACCGACGGCAAAACGGCCATTACCGAGGACGACATCCAACGAATGCCGTACCTCAAGGCCGTGATCAAGGAGACTCTGCGGATCCACCCACCGGTGCCCATCTACATGCACGCGGCCCGAGAGCACGTGAACTTCATGGGGTACAACGTCGAGCCCGAGACGATTGTCGTGATGAACGTGTGGGCCATCGGGCAGGACCTGGCCTTCTGGAAGGATCCAGAGAGGTTCGTGCCCGAGAGGTTCATGGACTCGTCAGTCGACTACAGGGGGTTCGACTACCAGCTGCTTCCGTTCGGGGCCGGGAATAGGGTTCGCGGCAGCCACCTTGCAGCACACAGTGGCGAACCTCGTGAAGAACTTTGACTTTGAGCTACCGGGTGGGGCCCGGGGGGAGGACCTGGATGCGACCGAGAGGCCTGGGTTTACGGTCGGTAAGAAGGAGCCTCTCGTCGTTGTTCCCAATCGCGTGGAGCTTGGAAGTAGGAGTGGTTTGGAGGAATAATTGGGTTAGCTAATGCGTGTTGTTTGGGTTATGCTTCAATGATTATAAATAAAGATGATAAACGTGCGTGTAAGAGAACTTGAAAAATATTCAATAAACAGCCAAAATTCCTATTTTGCGGGTGTGTTTCGGTTTGATCAACAAACATCTACGTGGGTTTATATGGTTGTGTGTGATTGAACAATAAAAAGAGAAAAATATACATGTAGACAGAAATCCATGGTTTTCAAAACCGGACCAGACCAGTCGGTTCGTCCGGTACAACCTAATCTTCTGTCCATCATGATTATGGAAGACTTCAGCAAGCACACAAGAACCATGGGAACAAGTAACTCATAAATCCCTGTAGCACAAGAATGAAATATAATGATCCAGTGGTCCACACAGTGCACAAAATAATACAAAACCATACGTGTAAAAGATGTTTTACACAAATAATATATCCTGTATATATGCTATTCCAGTTGTGTGGTAATAAAATGTCATTTTTCGCAGCATAAATTTCCTACATACACGAGTGGAAGTGTAACGAATTTTATTCTTTTTACTAGTAATACATTCGGCAAGTGCGTGCAAAAACACTTGCATAAGATGTATATAAACAAGTGACCTCAAGCACTGCACATGCAATCCGGAGCCGGGTATGTGTATATTGACTGCTGTGGTTTGCGTAGTTTGAGCAGCCCTTGCCTGTTTTTATGCCCTTCGATAATTGCCTCTTGGAACTCAGGCCAGGTCAGACTCTTGTTCAAGAAAAGCTGGCCTAGTAGTGCCATGTTAGGTCTTATGATCTTCTTGTTCTCGTATGTTCGATGCCCCACCTGGTGTTGTAATACAGATCGAATTAAAAACATTTGGAGTATAATAAACGAAACCCACAACTAATTAGACAGAAAACTCGACTTAGAAGAGCTTACCACGGCATTGTGCATATTTCCTGGGGATGCTGAAATGAAAATATCACTCTGCAAGCTAACATAATAATCCACTGCAGCTAACAAAGAAGCCTTTCCTTCGATTCGAGCTCTTTCTTCTGAAGATGCTAGGCTCTTCTTGCTCGCCATTAATGGAAATAAACTTTGTAAAGCTGAGATCCTAGCTTCCCCACCATACACCTGAAAATATATATATCATGCAGCATCATAACACATCAAGCTGAGAATTAAAGTACAAAAAGAAGGGGAGAAAAAAAGAGAGAACTCGATATAAAGACCGACCTTGTGGGAAGCAAGATACAAACGAGTCGTGTTGTCAAATCCTAAAGCTGCTAGCAGCAATCCAATCTCTTCCGGGGTCAAAGGGCAACGTCCTTGACTCCTCAACTCCTCATCCGTAAATTGAGAATTCAAAACCCTCCCTTGCCAAATAACCTGCCGGTATTTGGCCAGAGCCAATTTTTCGGCCTTACCTCCTCCAAAGTCACACGCTGAGTGGGCAGCCATATCCTGAAAAAAAAAGAAAAAATTAATAATAAATAAGAATCACCTTCCATGCTCGTCTTTAGAATCACCTTCATTTTTAAAAGAAAAAAAAAAATGTTAGTGTTAGGTGCCTTGTCAAAACGAAGGTGTATGACGACAAATTTCCCAGTCCCTTGTTTGTTTTTAGAATCCTCGATTTTCTCGTTAGTGTTGAATTGGTTGGTGCTCGGATGGTATCTGAGACGGCTAACGAGGGCATCGCCAAGAGCTCTGATGTGAGGGACGAAGACTAAAGCTTGGAAGTTGACTTTACATCTTAGCCATTGGATCTCCTCTGGCATATTGTCAAATGCCAGGCGGTGTGAAAAGGGTGCAATTGCAGCAATCCCATAACTGGAAAATCCAAGAAAATTACAATTTAAGCCCAATCACTAATTTAATTTTGAAACCATACAAAATTATATAGAAAAATAGAAGGAAAGGTTTACATTTTAACACCAACCTCTGGATGATAGGCAAAACATTATCAAGGTACCAGTTTGCCGAAGCATGAACGGGCGCTGTCTTAACTCTGGTTGCTCTAATGGCTGTGGCATAATATTCTCTTGTGCCCCAAAAGTACTCATCGGGTATCTCTTTTATAATAGACACATCGTCCTTCAACACGCTAATGAAGTGATCCACATCGAATATATCCTCGAACGAGCTGCAAGAAAGAGGCAAAAGAAAAACAAAAGTAGGAGTCGATGGATTTAGTTAAGGTTTCCAAGGCAGAAGAGGAAAAAGAAGGAAAGCAAAACTAAATCCTAGCAAACTACTATGGACTCATTAAACAGAACCTTGAGTCTTGCCAGACAGGGTTCACTTCAAGATGTGGAATTATAAGGGTCGCGTTCAAGATTTTAGCGAGAGCGACCGCATCACATATCTTTACCAAAAAAAAAAAAAAATTAGAATTTAGCTACTCGAGACAACTGATATTCAATCAGTGCAAGAAAAGGAATGTCCATGCATGTGTTATTTGATATTATAACTCGAACTACTTACACCCATTCTCTGCTGATTTAGACCACCATCAAGGAACACCTGAATGTAACCTTCAGTTTTTTCTGGCAATTCTGCAAGAAACAAAATTTTTATTGTAACTTCAAACAGTTCAAACAGGTAATAACACGCAAACTTAAAATTTATATTCCCATTCCCGGCTCTTGTCAAAAAAAAAAAAAAGTTACTAAATATACATATTTATCATTATTATTTTAAGTTCTTTCACTTACTGGAGGTTTTGTCTGAACTAAGACGAGGTTTCCATCCTTGGTTGGCTAAAGACATCCACAGTTCAGTCTGTTGCTCGTCGGACTTAAAAGTTCAAAAAGACGGAACAAATTGCATCATTTGCGTAATGTTTCAACGAAAATCGATATTGCCAAAGATTTTGCACATCAAATTGAACTCTTACTCACAATTTGGCGTTGCAGAGCACTTTTAAGGAGACGAGAGTGTCGAGGTTTCAGAGTGTTCCACTCCTACAGTAAATGATAATCCAGTTATCAAATAAATAACGAGGCCAAACTGTAAACTAAGACAAAAAAATTCCTCTGTTAAACACATCTTAAGGTTCCTTGAAAACACTATGAAATTTGCTTTCCTTTTACAAAGTCCTGTCAAGCCACACTCACAAAATAAATGAGGAGAATTTGTAGGCAAGATGACGATGTAACATAAACAATAACCAGAGGTTCATAAGGATATAACTAATTGACTCTACATACAGGGAGATGCTATAGTCCCGTTACGGAACTATTCCGTCAGGATTTGTAGCCGTTAGATCAAATATCTGCAACGGTTACATGATGATCTAACGGTTACAAACCCCAATAGAATGGTTCCGTAACGGGACCGTAGCATTTCCCATACATAAAAGATAAAATTCATTTTGCCAACATTCTATTTCAGACCAATTTCACTTGGACAGTGTTGTTGTTGCTTTCTTACATCATGAATTGCACACAAAATAAAGCAAAAAATAAACAGGACATTATAGTTACAGAACCATTCCGTCGGGATTGGTAACCGTTAGATCAACTATCCACGACGATTACATGATGATGTAACGGTTACAAATCTTGACGGAATGGTTCCGTAACGGGGTTGTAACATTTCCCAAAATAAACTAACCCACAATCTCCATACCAGACCAACTAGCACACATAATACATTAGATCATTTTCAACAGAACCAGCTAAATTTCAACCACTCAGCCTCCACATATTTATCAACATTCACTGAAGTCCCCCTTTTAGATAGGCAATCTAGTGAGAGAAGATTAACACTGGCAACAAAGTCCCCCAATAAATGAAATGCACCCAAGATCAAATCTTTCTCACTAGTAAACAAGAAATTTCAGTTCAGACTCTTGACAATTATCTGAATTTACAACTCCCTTGTAGAGAGTCTCTAACATTTTTCCCTTAAAAACAAGAAAAGGACAAGTAAAACAAAAGAAAACCCAGATATCACCATGAAAATATAAACAAAGAAAAGAGAAGATTCTATGGTCCCGTTGCGAAACCATTCCGTCGGGATTTGTAACCGTTAGATCAACTATCCACGACGATGGTTACATGATGATCTAACGATTACAAATGTCGATGAAATGATTTCGTAACGGGACTGTAGCATTTTCCAACATAACTACGAAACCCATTTTACAACGAAAAGAGTTGAGTCATACCGAGAGAACAGAGGGCAAAGCGTGGCTCAAAGGAGTGAAAAGACATGGAAATAGCAAAGGCAGCAGCAAAATCAGGGCACTAGCCATGGCTCCTCCTCCTCTGTGGCTAACCATAAGCTTGTAACCTGGATTAAAGTAATAATGTAAGAGTATGAAAGGGGCCATATTCATTAACAGCATCTCAGTCTCACATGCTCACCTATCCCTATATGTACTCATTTATTGCTTACAAAGTGACTGTCTATTAAGAATACAATATTGCATACTTAAATAAGATGCATTGTTGACTAAGGTACACATGAGTAAATGAGGGTATGATTGTTTATAAAATACTAGGACAGAGCCCGTGCGATGCACGGGTGTACAAATTTAAGGTCATTTATCCATTTTTATAATTATATAAATGAATAAAAAAATGTACAGGATATATATAGTACGTGACCTGTAATAAGCCAAAATGTGAACACGGGTGATGCACGGGGTGCACAATTTTAAGGTCATTTATTAGTGCATACCCCGTGCGATGCACGTGATACATATAATATATCAATTATTTCTATAGGACTTGTACGTCTAGACAAAAAAACAATAGGGTTGGATCATTTATATTTCACATCTTTTAATAAGTGACGTTTATTTAAGCCAAAAAATTAACATGTTAATTAATATATAATTCCGCTAACACGTCATACTAATATTTATTTGATTTTAGAATACATATTTATTCATTGATATAGGAAAAAATAAAAATTTTATTAATTATTGTTCACCATATAATATTCAATTATTATTTTATCATAAAATTTACAGTCATATAATGTAATTATTATTATTTATAAAAGTTATAGAAGCAGTCTTCTTTATGTAATGAAATTCAAAATAAAATTTTGAGTATAAATGTTTACAAAATACACATACATGTTTTTTAGAATTCAATTTTCTCATACTATTTTTTTTTTTTTTTAAAATGATTTAGCAATTGCCAAAAAATAAATCCCTTACATAATCAAGAGATTTTTTCTAATTTTCATCCTAAGGCTTTATAGTTTATTTAACATACTATACAATAGAAAAATATTTTACAACAAGTTCATTTTTTAAACATAACAAAAAAAAGTGATAAAAACACTATCATAGTTGACAATAATATACAAATAAATAACATGTCAAAATTTAAAGAATAACTATAATTTAATTATCTAACCATCAATAAAATCATTTAATGATGTGATCATTATCTTTTAAATAATAAATAATATTAATTTTTTAAAAAAATATTAGTGTTATATAATTAAATAAAGGTTAAAAAATATTACTCGACAAATATTAATGATAATGTAAAATCATTGCATAAATTATTTAAGGAAAAAATCTTGAATATCATATTTGGATAGTAAATGTAAATATGCAAGCATTTAATGTATATAGTAAAAAATTTCCAAATAAAGTATGCATTAAATGTGTGTTGACTTTTCTTGCTACTGTTTTTGGTAAATAGGTTGACTTTTAATATATACTAGTACGTAGCTCGTGCGATGCATGGGATAAAAGTATTAAATGAGTCATTTTCACAGAGTTTTCAGTTAAGTAACTCGTGTGATTCACGGAGATCTTAAATGAGTGGACCATAGGGCTTGTCCGTTCGAGCCTAAAAAAAATAGAGTTTGATCATCTATCTTTTTACCTCTTTTCATCAACGTCATTTTTTTTTTTTTTTGGTCGGGACATTAAACCTGAGCCTGGTAGCGCTAGCCCGTAAATTAATTAATATATTATCTCGCTCACATGTTTATTACAATATATATTTGATTTTATTATATATATTTATTCATGATATAAGAAAAAAAGTACAACTGAAAAAAGTGTAAAATAAATAAATAAAAAAAAGTACAACTAAAAAAGTTACAACCAATTGTATGGAGAATTAAACTAAATCCAATTTTGTATGATGTATTAAATATTGATTAGATTTTATATGTAAAATAAAATAAAAAATAATTGAAATAGTTTCACGTGTCGCAATATTTTATATTTAAAAAAATTAAATAAAGCTTCTTTTACGTATACCAACATTTTAGGAACTACATGAATATTCTTAAATTAATATTGCATACCCAATATTTTAGAAACCAATTAAATGATAATTTAATTTACATATCAAAAATGTTAGATGCATTAATTAAATGATTGATAAAAATAGCAAATCATTAATTAGAGTTGACTATTCTACATACTACATTTAATAAATAGTATAGTTTTTAATATAAGTATAGATATAGATTTCATCTAAAATAATTTATTTTGGTTAATTATGGTTAAAGTTTAAAAAGTAGTGTGGTTAATTATTAGTGAGATTTAAAAAATATATTAAAATAATATTTAAAATAAAATAATTAAAATTAATTTGATATAAAGTAGGAGATAAATGATTGAAAATGATTGCTAGTTAAATTATGTGAGTAGATGAATAGTGAATTAAAGTTGATGTGATGTGTAAGAATGATTGGTTTGTATTATTTAATTACATGAATAGTATTAAAGGTAGTAGAGTTGAGTTGAAGTTGAGTTATATTTTGAGTTGAAATTTTTGGAGGTGAAATATTTTATAAACAATACATGTTTACACATGTTCATTTTATAATGTAACATGTTCATTTTAAATTGTCTTGACACACTTTGCTAGGTGTGTTAGGACGCACGGTAATAGCACTGTCCCCCCTGTTTATTTAGGTTTATCAATTTTTTTTTTTTTTTAAGTTTTCCATTCTCTATTTTCATGTTGTACTGTTTTAGGTGACAATAAAACTATTGGGTTAGATTAAATATGACTGGAAGTACTAACTTTGGGTCACAAAATCTTTTCTTTATTAAATAAAAGTGTATGATGAAGTGTTCTAGTTTTTAATATAAAGAGTAGTTTTTTTTTTTTTTCAACCGCTAGTCTTAGAGGGTGAGATTCATCTTGATAGCGTCATTTTTGAAAATCGATTTTGTTATGAAACCATCGAATGACTCGACTTATGGAGCCATCAATTGTTATTCACAAATGATGTATTGACACGTGTCCTGTAATAAATGCACATTGAACATGTGTCAGTACATAAAGTTAAGAATAACTCCATAGAATTTATGTTTGTAAAATATGACATTGTGAAATGGTGTACTTTTATTTGAAAAGATATATGGGTTAGAAATATTCTCTTTTCGAAAAAAAAATAATAATAATAATAACTTGGCATATGTGTCGATGTTAGAATTTTAGATGTAATATCAACAAAATATCATATTAAAATAAAATATAAATAAAAGTGTTATATCTCCCCCTTACATATAAGCAAAAATGTAAGGGGTTCTGAGCTCGACACGTTGCTTTTTTTTGGGACGAAAATGACCTGCAATTTTGCATGATGTTTTCGACAGTTTTGGGGATAATAAAGTCATTTTCTCTGCATTGTGGCTCTCACACGCCATTCCCAAGGCACACGCATTTGACTGAAAACTTTGAACCAATCACCTCATTTTTCTCTCTCCCCTCAATTTTCTGTGAACCTCATTTTCTCTCTAATAAAATCGTTAATGGAAACCTAGCCACCACCCGCCGCCACCATGGCCCAGTATCGCCAAAAGCGCCTCAACTCGGCCATCAAATCTTATACACTCTCATCCTCTCCACCCATGCTTGATGAATCTGTGTGTGGGTATTTGCATCTGCCAAAAAAAGGTGAGATTCAACCGCTATTGGGTCCCGATATCGATCTTTAACCTAAACTGTGTTGGGTCCCGATTTCGCATTCTCGACGGTGACATTCATATGCAAAAGATGCGATTCAGAGTTGTTCATTATGCTTGAAGGAAAAATTAGATTTGCCCAGCCACATCATATTATTATTTTTCAGTTTCCATGGGTTAACCTTTAAAGTAGAGTTAATATCATTGCATCTGCAGTCTGCAATCTTTGTTATGGATTGTGAAACGCTATTTTAAGTATTTTTTTTTAGTTCTTCTGATTTTCCCAGTTGGTTGGTTGGTTTGAGTAATTGTCTTAGCAGCGACGATGTCATCGGCAGATCCAGTGGTACAGATACTGACGGCTGAGACGACGTCTTCCAAGTGGCCACGCCACTGGAACTCGAGGAGAGAGAGAGAGAGAGAGACAAAGAGAGAGAGAGAGAGAGAGAGAGAGAGAGAGAGAGAGCAAGGAGGTGAAGGTACAGCGGGTCACTACCGGAACCCGGGCCATCTTGAAGGCGTCCGCCCACTCCAAAACCTTGCTTCGCGTGCTCCGCACCTCCACCCTCGGCACGACGACCTTCAACTCGAAATTCTTTGGCTCCTCCGGCACGCCCGAAGCCGTGGATGAGAGCTCGTGACACTCCAGAGAGAATTAAGAATTGTCATATCGCAACTTCTATCAACAAATTTGAGGTTTTGTTTGATTGATTTTAAATAAAATTATAATCTTTGTTGTCTGCAGTTTATGTAATGGGTAAATTCTTTTTCGTGGGGCCTCACTTGTTTTTCCTTGATTAGTGCTGGATTTGGGAGTTTTTAAGTGATGGCATGTTTTGAGGAAGTGGGTTTTCAGCGACTTTGCTTTTTCTTTTCTTTTCTTTTTTTTTTTCTTGGATTTATCCTTTGGTTCTTAATTCTGCAAAAATGCTCTTCTTTTTCGTCATTATTTTGGTGCTTTCGGATGGAACGAAGCTTGGATTTTGCCATTTGATTTGGCAAATTAGATTGTTTCCAGCACCATCGTGTTCAGTTTCCTAACTTTGGTATTTGACTGGAGAGTTGATCAATCTTTACCTATGAAGTGTTCATTTTTTTAATTATTGGGTGTAGCAATTTGACTGGAAAAAAATGCATGTGTTGGGTGTTTCTATCCCCTTTTGGTGCATCTAACTCCTTGTCTTACTGTACATGGCTGCTGATAGAAAAGAATTGGTAAAAAGGTTTCTGATTTTGTGTGGATCTTCATATCTTATAAATTTGTGGTTATTGAGCTGCCTATTTGTAAGTAATGTTACTAATTCTTTTATGTTTCCAGACCCTACGAAGTTCTCTCATTACTGTATGTTGCTTGTAGATGGATGCTTTTGTGTCCAAAAACGAGA